CAATGTCATAAAACAACATGTGTACTACTGTTTCATGAGAAACTATTTGTTCTGTAAGCCTTCACCTGAAGTACAATAAAATATAAAAAAAAAAGAGTTCAGGCTGCTAACTGAAAGGTTGGCAGTTCAAATCCACCATCCAATCCTTGCAAACCCTATGGGGCAACGGCAATGGTTTACTGAGGGTGCCTTGCTAAGGACTTTAGATTCATTGTACCACTTTTCACTTCCACAGCAACTAACTGAGGTGAGAATCATTATCCCCATTTTAGAGATTTAAAAACTGAGCTTCACAATTGGCATAACATAGTTTATAAAGACAATGTTCTACATTCTACCTTGGTGAGTAGCGTCTGGGGTCTTAAAAGCCTCTGAGCAGCCATCTAAGATACTCCACTGGTCTCACCCCTTTGGGAGGGAGAATGAAGAAAACAAAATACAAGGGAAAAATTAGCCCAAAGGACTAAATGGACCACAACTACCACGGCCTCCACCTGAGTCCAGTACAACTAGATGGTGCCCAGCTACCACTGCTGACTGCTCTGATAGGGATCACAACAGAGTGTCCTGGACAGAGCTGGAGAAAAATGTAGAACAAAATTCTAACCGACAAAAAAAAGACCAGATTTGCTGGTCTGACAGAGACTGGGGACACCCCGAGAGTATGGCCCCCGGACACCCTTTTAGTTCAGTAATGAAGTCACTCCGGAGGTTCACCCTTCAGCCAAAGATTAGACAGGCCCATAAAACAAAAGGAGACTAAAGGGGCACACCAGCCCAGGGACAAGGACTAGAAGGTAGGAGGGGACAGGAACGGTGGTAATAGGGAGCCCAAGGTCGAGAAGGAAGAGTGTTGACATGTCATGGGGTTGTAAACCAATGTCACAAAACAATATGTGTACTAAATGTTTGAGAAAGTATTCTGTAAACTTTCATCTAAAGTACAATTAAACGCACGCACACACATTAGAAGTCAAAAAACAAAACAAAACAAAACTGAGCTTCGGAAAAGACGTGGCTTGTCAGTGATCACAGAGGCACAAACAAGTGGAGCCTGGATTCAAAACCAAATCCTCTGACTCCAAACCCCAAACTTTTTAATTCCTACATTTTACAGCACTGCCTTCCTCCTGAACAATACACCTGAGATTTAGAATTTAAACACACACAGAAATTGTCAGATTAGGTTTATTTGTTCCGTTTGTTGCGTGCCTTCCGGTTGATTTTTGACTTATAGCAACCCCACGTGACAGAGTAGAACTGCCCCAGAGGGCTTTCTTGGATGTAATCTTTATGAAAGCAAATCACCAGGTCTTTCTCCCAGAAAGCCACTGGATGAGTTCCAACCACCAACCTTTGGGTTAGGAGCCAAGCGCTTAATCCTTGCACCACCCGGGCTTCTTTCTTCTGTGTTTATCCTCTTCTTTTTATAGCCCAAGACCCTCAGCCTCAGGGTCTAAGTAATGGATCTCGAGTGGGCCCCACCCCTCACAGGGAACTGAACTTACTACCTCTGACACCTCCGAGGCCATAGTTGTTGTCTCCCACCCCAGGCCACTCACATCTGTGGTACCCACTAAACTCCCCCTGGTCTCTGGCAGGGAGGTCTTTGTCTCTTTCTCATAGTAATACTGGATCAAACGCTCGACCCCAACCTTCACTGCAGGCTTAAGCGCAGCGCTGATCAACAGTCCTGTGGGCGCCCCTGATAACCCTGCCATGGTCATCAGAAGGTCATAACCCAGGTCTATGGCTCCATCTTGGCCTCGTTCCTTGGCCTTTTCCAAGCAGTTCTGAGCGGCATAGTACAAAGCTGTGCCCAAGTTGTAGAAGGTTCCCACTGCCGGCAACCAGCGGAGTGCACTGTGCTCACTCTGCTCCCGCTCCTGCTCACAGTCCTCAGTGTGGAGGGAGCGCCGGGCTCTGTCTGGGCCTGGCTGCTCCCTGGCCAGCAGCTGCAGAGCAGAGGTCAGGGCCTCCACTGACGCTTCACCCTGTACGCTTCTGCCTTTCTGGAGCCCTCGGAGATGGCGGATGAGGAGCTGTGTGGCTGTTACACCTCCCAGGCGGTAGAGCTGACGCTCCACAATCCAGGCATAAGCCTGGCAGCGAGCCTTCTCAAGGGCGTTCTTCAGGGCCAGGCCTACCAGGAACCTGGGCAGCGGGGCCATGTGGGTGAAGCCAGGCAGGGACTTTGGGAGCAGGATCTGGCAGAATGAGAAGTCTGAGGAGGGTGGCTGGGACCCCAGGGAGGTAAGGTGCATCAGGGGCTTTGTTTGGGTTCCATATGAAATGGCATCTACGGGGTGAAGCAGGAGGTAGCAAAGAAGCAGTGTGATTGGCATCATGATGCGTCTGAGGCCACCCATGCCTGGAACAGAGTATGCTGGAGTGAGGAGAAGCCCAAAACACACAAAACGTTTCCCTAAGCTCTGTGATCTGAAAGGAGCCTAGGACTTAGGGGACCTCTCATCTATCACCTCCAAGCTTCTCTTTTTAGGTAAAGGCCTAGGAAATGGGAAATGGGGCCCAACTGCTCCCACCTGGCCTCCCCCATTTTCAGGTCACCAGGGACTTCCTCTGCTTTACTTCCACCCACTTATAAACCAAAACCAAACCCATTGCATCGAGTCGATTCAGACCCATGGCAACCTCATGTGTTACAGAGTAGAACTGTGCTCTATAGACTTCTCTTGACTGTAATCTTTATGGAAACAGATCACCAGGCCTTTCTTTCACAGTGCCACTAGGTGGGTTTAAACCGCCAAACTTCAGGTTAATAGTCGAGTGCTAATCATTTGCACCACCCAGGGACCTCCCCCACTCATCAGGGCCCCAGATTACCACACGGCCCAGTCCTTGAGAAGTGAGACTGCCCTGGTAGGTTTGGTTGCTTCTCAGTCCCGCTCTGCCCAGTTGTCTGTCCTGTGAGGAGGGGAGATATTTGCTTTCCCCCGTGATCAGTAAGGGACGTAAATCTCTGCAAATATCTACCCATTTGTACTGCTTGCTCAAACCTTGTCCCCTTGTCGCACACTCATCCTCAATATGGAAAACCCTGTCCTTTGGCATTTCCTGTATGTTCCTGCCACATGCCCACTTTAGCTCATAACAGAAGCCAGGGAGACCTAGGGTCAGGAGAGATTAGACGTCTGTGATTCTCTTTTCTCTTTTTAGCTTAAAAATTAAATAGGCAAGCTATGGCATCTAGCTGGGGATTTCTAAACTGCGGGGGAGACAAACGAGAAAAGGTTAAGGTATGTCTCATGCCTAAACCAGCTGCCGTTGAGTCGACTCTGACTCGTGGAAACCCGGTATGTGCAGGACAGAACCATGCTCCATAGTTTTCAATGGCTGGTGTTTTGGAAGTAGATCACCAGGCCTTTCTTCACAGGTTCCTCTAGGTGGAATTCAACCTCCAGCCTTTTGGTTAGTAGCCTAGCTCCTTCATGTTTGCACCACCCAGGACCTCTGCCTGTCATGCTTAGTACGTAGCAAATACACAATATTTGATGACTGAAAGCCAAAAAAAAAGAAAGAGAAAGTAGGATAAGAAATAGGGGCTGGGAGCTACTAGGAGGAGAGAGGCAAGACTAACACCTGTTACATGTGTCTTTTAGCACTGGGATGAAATGAAGAGATACATCTGTCCTACCCAGTCTCCATCATTTCTAACTACTTACTGAACACAACCCTGAGGAAGGAGACTCCTCACCTAGGTGGCCTTGCATATCTGAGGTAAACCTGGACAAACTCCTGACTCTATTCCCCTATAAAGGTCTTCCGTATAGTTGTGGAATGTTTTATAAAAATATAGAAATAAAAAACATTTTATATCTCATCATCCATAGACAATAAGAGGTTTTTAATCTGGGGGCTTTTTCAGCCTTTTGCCTAATTCTTCAAAATTCTCCCAATACTCATACTTACGGTTCTTGGTGGTGTTGACAGGGAGATTTGAACTGTGTCACCAGCAACAAGAGAGATAGCTTTTCAGCAAACTCTATTACCATCTGAGGTAAATGACAGACCAGCCACCCCAATGGGTGTATTCTCCACCGTGAAATACTCCGCAGGGCGGGTAGCTGAGTACTGGGTTTATCCAAGCTCCTCTGGGGGTCCCCCTAGATCCCTCAGAATGAACTCCGCATCGTCAATCCCTTCTTCTTATTGCACTTTTGAATTTCACAGATGAGGGTTTCACTGGTATCCTTTTCTCCATCCTAAATTGCTAAAGCTGCAGAAGGTGGGCCTCAGTGGGCAGCCAATCTCCTCTAGAGCCAGCCTCAGAGTTAAGTTGGATAGGTACCCAGGCAGAGGAGTAGAAGGTGGGGAGAGGGCTTTGAGGGAGAGATCTTGGCAACTGATCTGTGAGAGGGACCTGGATGGACAGCATGTTTGGTGGGGGCCCTGGCTCTGTATAAGATGGCTGGAAGATCAGGTCTCCATTCTGGACATTCTTGGAAAGGCAGCCACTGGAGACAGCAAGAGATAGCAAAGGAGCAGCACAGCTTGCACCATAGTGGAACAGCAGGAATAGCCTGCTGGAAAGAAGCAGTGCTCAGGCTGGGAGGTGGGGAAAGCCTTAGGGTGCTTTCTCTGAGGGTAATACAAGGGCTAAAAGACACCAAGATCAGTATCAGTGAAGAAATGTCTCAGCCCTTGGAAATTCCAGTTACCCTAGACGCACCTCGCCCCCACTCTTAGAGGCTGTGAGAGATCCTCACTGTTTTGAGGGAAAACAAGCCAGATGAACAAGACAATCCAAATATCTTCTTTGCTTTAATATCTTTATGACTGTGTTTTGGATCCCACCTATTTAAGAAATATTACATTTAAGCAATTTACAACTATATTTATCACATATTATTCTATGATTAAAATTGACAATAAACATTACTAAGGATTCTGAACGGTCTGGTACAGGAGGAGGTCCATAGTGGGGAGGGGGGTGACACCATGAGTTACCCACTGTGTGACACCAATCCTAGTGACGTCACTGTCTAAATCTACAACGAAACTCCAGGAATTGAGCTTTATCTGGGGCCTAGGGGTAACTCTAGTTCAAAATTTAGAGAAGAAGGCATGTGGTGGCCTCTAAAACTGACACAAATTCCCACATATCATTGTGTCATAAAGTTTCCTCTGGTGCTGTGATCTGCCTCTGGCAGACAGCCAAAAGGAACAGGCCAATGGGAGGGGTCCAGGATCCCCCCATTTCATTCACTTCTCTCAGTTCCCAGGAGGGGCCCCTAACAACTAAGAGCAAAAGAAGAGGAGTAGGTCTCTTGGGGCACATGTCCAAAATTGGGAGAAGCAAGAACTAGGTACAAAGGAGTCCGGCACTGCCTGAAATTAACCAGTTGCCACTGAATTGACTCTCACTCATGGTGACCTCATGTGTGTCAGAGTAGAACTGGTCTCCATAGGGTTTTCAATGGCTGATTTTTTTGGAAGTAGATCACCAGGACTTTTTTCCAAGGTGCCTCTGGGTGGACTTGAACCTCCAGTCTTTCAGTTAGCAATCAAGTGTGTTAACCATTTTCACCACCTAGGAACTCCCACTATTAACTATACCCTATACTTTATTAGGATTTCACTGATTTTTCCACTAATGTCATTTTCCTGTTGCAGGATTCAATGCAGGATACCATACTACATTTAAACTTTGTTTTCATTATGGTATTTTTCAAATACACACAAAAATAAGGAGTCTAGTACAATGACACCTCATATACACTTCACCCAGCTTCAAAACCATAAACTTTCTGTTGTTTATTTTTCAGCCACCCACCTCATTTACTTATTTTAGGTAATTTATTTATTCATTTGTTTTTGCTGAGGACATTTAAAGAAAAGTGTTGGCTTATGTTTTTACAACATCATAACCCCTACTGTCCCCAAATGTCTCCCAAGGGCAGAAATCTCCTTGGTAATAAGGTAAGTGCTCTTAGTATAGGGAGAAGGAGCTCTATTCTAGAAGAAGACTGTATCCGTACTGTCCAATATGGTAGTCATTAGCCACATGTGGCTATTTATTAAACTGATTAAAATTAAATATCATTAAAAACTCAGTTACCCTGTTTTATATCATGATTATGTGGATGGTTACATGGGTCTATACATGTTTCAAGTTCATAGACCCGTAGACAAAAAAATGTCATTTACAATATATAATTTTAAAAATAAAATTAAAAAAGCAAGCAAAGAAAAAAAAAATCAAGTCTTCAGTCACACTATCCACATTTCAAGTGCTCAGTGGACACATGGGGCTAGTGTCCACCATATTGAACAGCACAGATCTAGAACATTTCCATCATCCCTAAAAGTTCTGTTGGACAGCAGCGATCTCGAAATTGTGCAAGAGGTCATATAGCTCCTAAGATTGCAACTGATTCTATTGTAATGCACCCTCAGCTTCATCCTCCCTACCCTAATCAAAGGATCATCTCATTCTAGCCACCTGGGATTTCTACCAAGGACTATTAAGACTTGTGTCACATTTGATTGTCAGTGTGTGGATTATCATACCTGTGAAAGACCTGCTAGACGGTGTGGCATTTTCGGCATCTCTCCCCCTCCCCCTTCCCATGACCATCTGATCTTTGGGGAATTTAAACTTACTGTAGCATCCAGGGCCTAACAGAATAAAGCAAGTATATATATGATTTAAGGAGTCACATGATTTTTATCAGGAAGGGAAAAAAAAATTTTTTTTAAGGTGAAAGGAATTCTCTTCACCAGCATGGATAATAACAGGCTGGCATAATCATAGTTAAGTATTCCATTCTACTCCCTTGAGACAAGGGAGTTGGTGATACTTTGTAATTTTTCAGTTTTTAAGTACTGCCTATCTTATTGATATTGGACCCGACGTTTAGTTGGATTTTGAACACCACATACACAGCTTGTCAAGCATTAGTATATATTCCTATTCCTGTGCCTCCACTCTGTCCCCTGCGGGTCTCCTGCGTGTGCAATGGGCGGCATTGTCCCAGATATAGCAGTTGGTATAAAGCAGGGATCTGACAAGCTCTTCTCTACCTGTGTTACCAACAGGCCCTTTATCATGAGCAGCAACTCGGCCTCTGCAGCCAACGGGAACAACAGCAAGAAGTTCAAACAGGAAAGCAGGAGCTCAGGCGCCCGGTCGCCCGTGGTCCACATCCACAAGCTGCCCAGCAACGTCACCGAGGGGGAGGTCATCTCCTTGGGGCTGGCCTTTGGGAAGGTCACCAACCTGCTGATGTTGAAGGGGAAGAACCAGGCCTTCATCGAGACGAACACAGAGGAGGCTGCCAATACCATGGTCAACTAGTACACCTCGGTGGCAGCTGTGCTACGTGGCCAGCCCATGTACATCCAGTTC